TTCGCGGACTCAATTACATATTAAAAATACAAGCAAAAGCTGTGATATCACACCATCTGTTTTATTACCAAAAGTTGATAGTAATTCTGATTTGGACCATGTTAATAAAGTCAAAACAGCCGAAATAAAGTTAGCTGCGTTTTACGCGGAGCACAATATAGCTTTTCAAACAATTAATCACATAGTCCCTTTATTAAAGGAAACCTGTTCAGATCCGCAGGTGGTTAAGGATCTAAAATTGTCACGAACTAAATGTACGCAGATAATAAAAAATGTAATAGGCAAACGCGAAAGCGATAAGCTTATTACAGAATTAAAAATTCAGAAATTTTCAATATTAATTGATGAAAGCACGACTATATGTTTTATATATAATGTTCTTGTTTGAATACTAGTAAGGTTTTCTGCAGTTTTTCTTACTCTCGCAACAAATGTTTGTATTCATGTAATAAATCGGCTGCAGATGTACAAAATAATAAAAAAATATATATTCATTTATTTCCATGTAAATATGTTATTTCTTTTAAAAATGTCCTCTTCCTGTAATTTCTACCGTATTTCAATTGTCACGGGGGTCTAACGATACCCCATATTTGAGTGAAGTATATACGTTACTGAGGATTAGGTAGTGCGTATGCGTGGGAAAAATCCCACGTCCTGGCATCACTGAGTGTACGCCGTGTACCATAGCCGCACCTGGCTGTACCATCCGGTGTTTGGGTCGTTCAAGGAAGGTCGTTCAAGCCGGCAAAAACAATTCAACACGAACAAACCTGCGTACGCCCAATACATAACGGCGTTAGCTTCCTCACTTTCTCGTGAGCCGTCGCGGAGGGTGGGCGCGCGTCTCATACTCGTCCTTTCTCTTGTTACTAACCCATTGTTTGTTGCAGGCATTCGACAACCATCAATTTATTTACTGTGCATATTATTAATCTATTTACTGTGCATATTGTTGTGTCCCCTCTCTTGTTACTAATCCTTTGTATGTTACAGATGTTCGAGAACCATTAGCTTCGACATTTATCTTCTTATGTACTGTGATTCATTTACTGTGATTTATTCACTGTGATTTCTATACTGTGATTCATTTACTGTGCATGTTATTAATCTATTTACTGTGCATATTGTTGTGTCCCCTCTCTTGTTACTAATCCCTTGTATGTTACAGATGTTCGAGAACCATTGACTTTGATATATATTTTCTTATGTACTGTGATTCATTTACTGTGATTTACGTACTGTGCATATTATGTATTCTATGTGTATTGTATAATGAAAAATATTTTTCCAATCAGTTATTCCATCGAAAGAAGACATCGATCTCCGTCTACATCTTCAAAGCGTGCGACTACCACTGCGTTAAGTTACTGTAAGTTAAACTTAAATCATAATTCAATATTCATTGTTATATTCATATTCATCATCACATCGTAATGATAATTATTATTAATTTTAGCCTATCTATTAATAGACTTAAATCGTGACCATTCATTGTGCATACCAAGTTATTATTAATTCATTTTGCTCGTTTATTCTCTACACAGACTTCGGGTACGGGCAGTGGGTCTGTACCTAGGGTATGGGCAGTGGGTCTGTACACTAAGACTGTTTGCCGATCCCTCTGGTTTCTATTGAGAAGCCAGATATCGGACGTGTTTAGTCTTTGCCTGGTAAGTAGGATTTGGAG